CGCCCCCCCCCCCCCGATTCTGATTTGCGGACATTTTCTTCCAAAAGTTAAGAAAAAACGTCTGCAATCAAGAAGACGCGTTATAACGCTACTTGAATCGTAATGAATGTATTAAGATACGATTTTGAATTATGGAAATTTATAAAGAATGCGTAATCTAAAGGGGAAAATATCTACATATATTAATTGTTTGATAAAGAAGTATTTTTTTCAAATATATTTACTATGAGCTATCACAGTCAATATTTGCTCTCATACAATATCTAATTCATAGTTTTTAATTAACCATTGAGCAACAGTTTTCAGAGCTTTACTATTAGCATAATAAAGCAGTTAACATGAGAGGAGGATAACTTGTGTTGATAAATATTACAATGCGGTATGTATAATGATGTATATAAATACAAAATCCCGTTTGAAAATGAAAACGAAGCATTTTCTCGCGCTGCGAAAATTCAGAGAAACAAATTGTTTCATCATTACATATCATGGCATGTAGACTTAGCGTGGACAAGTTGTTGGAAAATCAACTAAAGCTAGCTAGTTCAGCGAAAATGAATTATTGATGAATATTTTTCGCCGAAATTTATACAAAGCATAAGCTTGGTCAGTTAGATTCTTGGTGATTCACATTCTTTCTGTAAATATGCTTTAGATTTAAAATAGTTTCGTCCATGTTACTTTCTATAAAGCTGCTGATAGATTCATAGAGAAGCCGTGTAGACAATCATTATAAGAGTCTTTTTCTAGTTGCTGCACTAAAATGTACTGAAGAAAAAAATGAAACGATAGAGATGCATTCAGAACGACAATCACTTCTGTGAATCTTCGTTTCAATTAAGTATACAAATAATTCAACTTACTTTATTTAGGATGCATTAAATCTTCAACGACTGTTCATTGAAAAAAAGCGAGACTTAACACACAATGAGAGTGTACAAAATTTAGTTTGTGAACTATTAATCTGTTTATTTATACAAACATTTAATTATGAAGTAATCTTTATTTTCTATTCATCCAAACACTTCTTTACATTATATTTTGTCTTATACAGGATCAAGATGGTCAATATATTAGTGATTCATTTTCAGAATTACCTGAGCAAGCAGAAAATGAACCGTAAGAAGAAGAGGAAGAATTATAATGTATGAGGAAATGAAATTTTTAATTTTGTAGATTTGATATTGTATATACATTTGATATGATCAGACAAAATCTTGATCAGGTAATTAATCCCCTACAACAGTATAATATAACGACGTTTATTATTTATTATAGCGACGTTATCGTCGATTAGATGCTTTTCAAACTGATCTATTTAAAGTATTTGAACGTGCTAGAAAATTAACTTTACCTCATTCCAAGGTGAGCATTGACACTGGTGTTTGTTTTTTCGAATAAAATATTTTGTTTTCTAATAGGTGTATCAAGATTCAATCAAGTTAGAAAAAATTTACCTTCGTTTACGTGATGAAATATGTCAACATGGTAGTTTACTTCGATCACCAGCGCTTCTATTCAACGAAGATCGTCTACAACATGAACTTGTTCGTGAACGAACAGAAAAGGATTCAATGGCTAATACAAACAATCAGAACAGTATATCACCGACTAAATCATCTGATTCTGATGAAAATAAAGTATCTGTAAGTTGATTGTTGGTGCCATGGAAATGATCAAGTTCAGCCATAGTGAACGCTTTTGTTTTGATTGTATCGTTGCAGTAAAATGATTATTGATTCCAATGAGAACATGAATACAAATGAGTCGAGTATAGAACCATTGAGATCCGATGCAACCATATTTTAATCTTCTCGAGGAATCACACTTATTAGAATTGAATCATGATTCCCAAATCAAAAGAGAATATGTGTTTTTATCTGTTAATTAGTAGATTTAAGATCTCACGACCAGTGCTGGATTCGATGATAGAAAATCTGGTAATACGATGGAGAATAGAAAGATGAGTTGCTTCTAATAAGTAAGCCCGAAAACTTTGAATATTATTTTTCCTCATCATACAGACATCGGCTTCACTGCCCAAGTTCTTAGTGATACCCAATAGATCCAGTACACTTAAACATTGATAGTAATTGTGTTCGTGACTGAAAGTTTGATTAAAAAAATAGCTTTTAAGTACATAACTGCTGCATAAAAGAGAAAAAATGAGTTCGAGGTTAACGTCGTTTCTAATTGAATAATAATAACTGTTTTATACGGTGCAATATGCATGAAAAATTGAAATATTCGACCATACGAGAAGAAAAGTTGAATCGATCTATATTTATATAATGCAATATAAAGTTTAAAGTGAAGGCCTTGTGTATTTTGAAATACTGAATACTAAATAGGATCTATAAAGAGGAAATTCGAGTATTATAATAATTAAAAACACGATGCTAAATCAATAGTAGAAAATGTCAACACACGTATTTCTCCATGCTTTTACAGTGAGATTCGAACTAGATCAATAAGTCATTAAGCGTACAATTGAACAACGACAAATGTATGTTTTAAAGATTAGACATGTTTTGATTATCATTTTACTCGTATGAACTGATCATTTTCCTTGGTTCAGTAGTCACCAGCAGGTATACTTGCGGAGTTATAGATAAACATTGAATAGGAGAAGACTTTTTTTCTCTTTTGTACAACATTTTATCTATATCAGTTATATATTAATAATACAAAAGATATTGCAAGAAAACAGTCAACTATTCCCCAGATCAATATGTGCCTCTATTTAGTAATTATATATCATATCAAATGTATTCCTCTTTTTTTTGATCAAATCAGATATTGAAGTAACACAAGAAATGATTACAGATAAATTCAACCATATAATATCTATATGTGTCTATTTTGCGTTAAAAATCCTTAAATCAAGGGGAAGAAAGAGTAAAAATAAAGAAATATTGGTCTTGAGCTATTATGGATGGCATATACAGTGATTGTGTAACATTTATTTTTAGATAAATTAATTGTATTTGGATAAGAATATAAAGGGAAATCTAAACAAAAAATGTATCATATTGACATGGAGATTCAGACTTTCAAACAAGATTGTTTAGAAGCTTTTTCTAAAGTATACACTCAATAATCTATATGAAAAATACGATCCACATGGATTTTATTCTTGTTGGCTTTGGAAAACATTGAATAACAAAATATTTCTTTGACTTCCATACTTTATTTACTGTTATTACAACTTTCGATCAAATTTTAGTATGAACATTAACAATGAAAACGTTTTTCAGAACCTTCATTTAATCTAAATAGTCTTAAAAGATCTGTCTAGTTAATTAATCAAAGTCATGCAGTCATAGTGATCCTTTCATTTTACACCAAAAAGAGAAAACAAAACGAGAAACAACAAGCAAACAAATAGAAAAAAAGAAACATTGATCCGTTACAGATATGGGAACGCGAGACAAAATGATAGAAGAAAATAAGACAAAATTCAGACGTAAATAGCATGTCATATCTCATCATAAAATCTTTGAGTTAATAAAAACAAAAAGGATTTATTTATGACGGCGGTGGACCTGTTGGTAAGGGTGGTTGCGTTGATGATGGCCCATACATTTGGTAAGTTGGTGGATACATGGGCGGTGCATAGGATGACATTTGATTATAAAACCCACCATAGGAATTACCTGTCGATGATGATGACATCGTGGTTGCAGCATGAGATGGTACTGTTATTCCATTTGGTTGAGATTTTTGATGTGGTCTTGGTGCATGACCATTCGTTGATGATGAATACGGATTGCGGAGAGATTCCTCCTAAATTTAAAGTTTTGTATAAATAAGAAAAATATTATATGTTAGCTTACAGTTGAAGGGCGAGCATTATCTGTTCGAGCACGTTTAAAATCATTTCCAGTTGAACTACTATCAAATCGTGATGGGCGCGATGGACTACGACTGTGTGATCGTTTTTCACTGAAACGAGTATGTCGGGTGTTATTATTAGCAGAAAAATTATTTCCAGTTCGAGCAGGTCCAGCATTTCTTCGATCGAAACCTAAAATCAAGCGAAATAACATTGAAAGATTGTTTGCTGTTTTAAATTTACATACTTCCTCGATAGGTACTTCCACCGCGACCATTTCCACTACCAAAATATCTGGTTTTACTCATTTCATACAATTTTTCATTGACATCTTGATTTGAATCCTTTAATAATTGTATTAATTCTTGTGCTTGTTTTGCATTGTCACGCGTGAAAAAACTATAAGCTGTGCCTTTAGCACCGGAACGAGCCGTACGACCAATGCGATGAACATAATCTTCTGTTTGCGGTGGATAATCAAGATTAATAACAATACGTACATCTTCGACATCTTAATATACAAACATATAAATTAATAAAGATTCTCACTAATGAAAAATTTAAAATCTGCGAGCATGACGACATAATATTCCTTTAAAAATTTCTACTCATGAAACAATTGAATTTTCCTTTTTTTCATAGTCAAACTAATCGTATTGAAATATGAAAAATTAAAATAAAATAAATAATAAACATGAAATTATTACCGTGTACCAAGTCCGAGATGTTCAACGACCGCCGATGTTTTATTATGTGTACGCATTGGTATCGAACGAGTTTCTTATCCATCCGTTCGAAGGCAATACGATAACATAGGAGATCGGCACGCCGAACGTCGATACGACTTAGCACAATTATAATCAAATTTGTATCCGTCGTCATGTCACAATACTTAAACACTCATTATATTTATATATGAATTGATGGTAACCCGAATTTTTATTTTATTTTATCCCTCTGTCTGTATGCTTGTAGAACAGCAATGACATGTGCAGGCACGCCTCTGCCGTAAGACGCACCTGCAACAATAACAAAAAAAATATAGTTGAGACAGAGTAATAAAAATCAATGAACTTTTTCGATAGAAGAAATAACAGATATCAACACATACCTAAACCACGAGCAGCGACATCAGTTGCAATAAGTATGACACGAGAACGATTGCGAAATTCTAAATGAAAAACAAAATATTTAAAATATTTGCAAACAGATTCTATCATTGCTTACCTTGTAAGACCCGATCACGTTCTTGTTGACGTTTATCTCCATGTATTGGAAAACATGGATAACCAAGACGTTTAATTGTGAAGAAGAAATCATCTACACGCTTTTTCGTTTGTGCAAAAATTATCACTTTGCAGTCTTGATCACGCATGACAGCTGCTAAAACTTTCGTTAACCTATTAAGAGCGAAATGAATGTATGAACTAATTTTTGTTTTTCTTATTAATTAAATTTTGTTTTTACTTTGATTCCTTTTCATATTCTTCGCAAACATCTACAATTTGATGAATATTTTGATTTGCATTCAAAACTGCTTTGCCCAATGTTATATGCGCACAGTTCGTCATAAAATCTGATGCTAATTTTTGTACTTCTTTTGGCCATGTTGCACTGAACATAGTTGTCTGACGATCGGGCTAAATTTTATTAAAATAATTATATAATGAAAACATAAACGAAGAAAATAATTCTAAATATATTTACTCGGATGCATTTAACAATTTTACGTATTTGTGGTTCAAAGCCCATATCAAGCATTCGATCAGCTTCATCCAAAACAAGAAATGTGACTCGATCAAGATTAATTGTTTTTTCTCGTACAAAATCCAATAAACGACCCGGTGTCGCAATACAAACTTCGAGACCATAACGTATTTCACGTTTTTGTGGTGGTTTTGGGGCACCACCATAAATGCAAGTACTACGTGCATTAGTTGCTGCACAAAAATCAGCGCCAACTCCTTGAATTTGTTGTGCCAATTCACGTGTTGGTGCTAAAATTAGTACTAGTGGATCACCTGATCGAGCATTTGTTTGACCAGCAGAATGAATCAATGCTGGTAGTATAAACTGAAAACAAACAACGTATATATTAAAAATAAGTGCATACAAGCGCATTTTACCGATAAAGTTTTGCCGGAACCTGTTTGGGCAATACCAACGAGATCTTGACCACTTAATAGGATAGGCCAAGCTTGTGATTGAATTGGCGTTGGTCGAATATATCCTAGTTGATGAATAACATTTCGAATAGATGCTAAACAAAAGAATGATTACATAATTGAATTTTTTTTGTATACGAGTTTTACTAGGAAATTGAATTTCATCAAATGTAAGTATTGGCTTAGGTGCAAAGCCACGTATTGTCATTTCATTTAGAGCATAGAATTGATCAGTTACATGCTATTGAAAAAAAGACGGATGAATGAAATAGTGGGTAAAATCTACATACTTGTGGGCGACTTGTAATTAATGGTGATTCTGTATAGAAATTTTTGATTACAGTTGGGCCAGGACGTAATGGTCCGACAGTAAATGAATCAAGATCATCAAGTAAGTTATTACCACCGTGTCGATCTCGATCTTTACCACCGCCATGACCCCGGTTACTTCCATATGAACCTTGATAAATAGAGAAACATAAAAATCCCTTATTTTTATTTACCATGATGATTTACCTCTGGATGATCCATAACTATTTCCACCACGACCGTTATAACTCATTCTTATAGTTTTCAAAAATCTGAAATGATTTAGAAATTTCTCAGTGTGACTCTTTATAAAGTCCCGTGAACAATGATGAAATTATTTTATTTGTTATTCATAGAAACCATATTGAATGTATCATGTTCTTTTAATGAAGGTTGCTGTGTTGTTGTTTTCTTTTTTTTTATAGAAGTTCTAAAAAAATATTAATTTTGAAAAAATAATAATTAAAAATGAAAATACAATAAAATGGATACATTAACTTTATTTATTCTTTTATTGAAAGCGCCACGTGATATAACTAGTGGCGCTAGTTGTTGTATACTTGCGAATCATTTCTCTATTCATAGATAAGATATGGAATTCCCTGGTCTAGGCGGTCACTGTGCTGTCGAAACATGTAACCGATTAGGTAAATTTTCATCATAATTTCTATTTTAAATCATGGTTGTCTCTCTAGATTTTCTACCTATGAAATGTGATTCTTGTAGTTCTATTTTCTGGTAAATATACTTTCTTTTTTTTCTACTTTCAACCAATCGTTTTTTGGTTTTATTTAATAGTAAAGATCATATAAAATACGATGAACATCAATGCCCATCATCTTACCGTAAGAATATTCAAATTCCAATTTGTCCCTTATGTAACCAAGATGTCCCCTATGAATATCGCGATCAATCGCCCGATCGCGTTGTATCAGCTCATATAGATCGTGACTGTAAATCTGATCCAGCATTAAAAAAACGTACAAAAGTCTATACCAATAAATGTTCTGTTCCGTTGTGTAAGCAACGTGAAGCAATTCAAGTTAAATGTGATAAATGTCTAAGAACGTATTGTTTACGACATCGGTTTCCTGATGACCATAAATGTCAAACATTAGAAAAACAAAATAGAAATGAACGTGATCAAGACACTGCAGTGGCATCAGCTATGAAATTATCATTAAATCAAAGGTAGCGTTTTAAGTTAGATAAATAAAAAATTATAATTGCTTTCTGTTTTTGAATTCTCATAGAACTCAAGAAGAAAATGATTATCTTCTAGCAAAAGCTTTGCAAGAAAGTGAACGAGAAGAAGCTCAACGACGTCGTACAACTGTAAGTGTTGAAATACTCGTTTAGCTGATGTTATTCCCTTAATAAATAGTACTATTCAACTTGAACTATGCAGAAGTGTTTCATTTACTATAGTGTAAAAACATCTGCTTAACGAATATTAAAATTATTAATTCTAAGTTGAATAATTTTTCTTCTTTTCTATTAGACAGCTTCAGCAACGAGTAGCAATGGTCAATCGACTGATAAAAAAAGTTGTTCAATTCAATAATTTATTTATAGTTTTTGTATATTTTAAATAAATAAACTCATCTGTTTTGGGGCTTGTATAATGAATTTACAATGAATTTCAGATTGAAAGTTATAAGGAACATGAATTTTGGTGAACCCCCTCCAGATGTTATCGCGCGTTTGTATAATGAAATAAAAGAGAAAAAAGTTTGTGGAGACACTATTTACCTTTTTTTTTATAAATAAAATTGTATGTTTAGATTCTTGAGCTTGACTGGAAAAGCCCTGGTAAAAAGAATCCAACAAAGAAACTTAAGAATACAGAGAAAAATATCAGTCCTATGAAGTCAGATGAATCAACCAATTCTAAACCTGAAGATAATAAGTAAAATTCAATTTTTTTCTTATTTGGATGAAATCTATCTCTTCTTTTTACTTTATAGATTACTGAATGAAATTGATGAATTTGATAATGATGATGCATTAACATCGAATAACATAACTGTCTCATCATTTCGTTCAGCCGGTCAGTTTATTAAATATTCATTTATCTTATCTTTGTTTTGTTTTATTTCTAGTTGGCAAACCAAAAACAACTGAAAAGCGACTCATTGATATGAACACTGTTATTGCTAATATTGAACGACAACAGCAAGAAGATGAACGACTTCGGTAAGAATAAAATAAGTTCAAATAGAATTATATCTTTTATTTTGTTATTTAGACAAGGCATGAATAATTCGTCGGTTGGCAAATCTTAAAAGAAAAGAAAAATTTCAACTGTTGTTATGTATAAAATGTACATGATAGGTTTCTTTTTGTCGGTTAGTCGATATAGAATAAAATTCAATTTAGGATGCTTTAAGCCATTTATGAATTGATGCAAGCTGTTTCAATTCAGTCATATCAACTTGATAGTCATCAGACATAGTGCCATATTCACATAGAATTGCAGCTGAAGTTCGTCCATGTGCACAAATAAAAGGCATTGAACATAACTTTAATTCATTCAAAAGATGTTGACATTCATTTTTACTTAATATATCATTAAATTTAATAGAATTATGACAAGCTAATGGTTTCAGTGTTTCATATATTATGAATTCGATATTGTTCAAATAATTATTCGTCTGAAGAAGAATATTATCGATTGTGTCTTGAATAATATCGTCAAGAATGCATGTTGACGATTGACGTTGTCCGAGTGATAAAAGCCAGCTAGGTACAGCTCGAACAAGAAGATTATTTGTCGATATAGAAGAAAAAATAAAGCCTGTACGTTCAAGTAGAGATATTTGTTCGAATGTATAGAGAAAACGAGGATTACGGGTAATAACCACTGGTTCAGATAAATGAAAAGGAAATGTACGAATATTTTCTTGTTTAAAATGAGTTTGAAGACGTTCAAGTAGGATACGTTCTGATACAGCATGTTGATCGAAAAGAATTAATTGTGTTCGATTCGTATCTAATGAATGGCTAAGACGTTTGCAAACTAAAAATTTTCTGTCATACTGTCCAAGAAAACTAATTTCATGAAGAAGATTAATATCTATAGATTGTTTTGATGTCGTGGACCAAATATGAAATGCTGGTGAATAGATTCGAGGAGGTAACGTATTGATCATAATTGAATCAGAGATATTCGAAGATTGTAATTCTTTTTTCTCGTTGACTTGAAATGATTTACGAATATTTGCCGAGAGACGAATTGAATGAAGAGATGAACGGTAATTTTCATTACGTCTAAATATTGAATATTTTCGTCGTGTTTGATTGAGTGAATATTTGTAAGCATTTGTGCGTGAATTCTCAAGAATTGTTCGTTGTTGTTTATGATATAATGTTTCTTGTTGCACGTTAACTGCATTGAATTTAGTTCGAGCTATGCAGTATTGTTCAAGGAGTTCACTACGAATGAACATTATGTCTAATCTAATTTTCTAACTGGTTGCTTTTGAATTTAAATATAGTATGAACAGAATAACGTCCTTCAATAAGAAGCCCTGGATGAATATTCAAAAGAAGAACGAATAAAATCAACATAAAAATAGAGAAATATTTATCAGTTAATGATTTACATGTGTCACACTTAATTATGAACAATCTTCGAAAATATCAATCAGAAATATATCGATACTGATTTCGGTGTTTTTCCCTCTACTGAAAGGAGGGTATTACGAAAAACGAGTTAAATGCGTTCGCTCGTCCAATAGGAAAGCAGATGCAACCTCAAACAATATCCTGCAGAGATAGGTTTGACCGACGGTAACTGGGGTCGGGGAACTGTAATCTGGCGTGAGATTTTTAGTGAAAAAGTATTTTTTCAAGAAAATAGTTTTCCTTGTAAAGTTTGATCAGATGCTGTCGGCTCGAGGGAGTCGAATCGGAGATCAGATTTTTGAAGTTTCGCTTTCTATCGTTTTTAGGGAGAGAAAGAGAGATTTTTAGGAAAAAATGACTTTGTTTAAAGTTTGACCGAAAGTTTTTGATGCGGAGTCATCCGATTTTAAATGTAGTTTTTCAGAAACATTTTGTCATCGTTTTGATAAACAAAGAGGATTGCACAGAATGAACATATGAGCTTTTTCAAAAAGTAAAACTAAGTGACCAGCAACTGATGAGTGACTGCTATTTTGAAAGCGTTTAGGAGTACCACAACGACGTTTCTAGTGGTTATGATCCTAAACAAATAAATAAAGTTGATTCAAATGATTGAATATTAAATGCTTAATAATCTTTCATAGTTCAAGCTAGTTTATAATGCATTAGGAGCTGCTTAGATCATCTTATTTTCGTGATAGGAATTCTTTGTCGGCAAACTTTTTAATGGTACCATTCGATGATGTTGATAGTGGTATATATGTATATATCGTATGCTTATATTGGATTTTATTACGAATAGGCTATAGGCATCTTGGGGTGGAGTTGATTCTTAATTTGGCAACGGCTATTCGTGATTGACGTCTCAGAGGGGCGCCGACGAGCGACTAGCTGCTCACCTAGATATATCCTTGTTTCGTTGCGTACGAAAATTTTATTATTTGAACAAACATGGTTTTGGAGAATGCTGCACTAAGGTCCTTTTCAACAAACAGTTGAATATAACTACATGTCTGTATTTTGTGTATAAACACTAAGACGTTGAAGGCTTTTTTCGAAGTCTTCAGTTTATACTTGATATGTCAACTTTTATTGTAGCACGAAGAATTCAAGATTAGCGCATCTACGAACGTTCGCAAACTGTCCAAGTACTCAGGAATCTTGTTTTATTCTTCTCAAAATTGTGAGTAATTTTTTTCATATGTAGATGAAACTGAATTAAATTTAGTCTCATAACAGTTGTTTTCGGGTTTCCTGAAAATTCTCTTTGTTTTTATCTAATAATTATGGAATGAGGTGAAGCTTTCAATCAATCATGTAGTGTTTAAAAGGATCACGTTCACCGCATATATACAACAAAACTAGTGGAGGCGACTCGCCGCTCAGTTAAAAATGTTGTGATTATAAGACTACAGACCATGCAGACGTGTAGAATAGTGACACGTTGTCTCGATCAGAAAAGTTGAAACAATTTTCGAAAATGGTAAATATCTTCAAGTTCTTCCGAAGAAAGGCCATGAAATAATTGCTCAACTCGTGTGAAATATTTGAAATTTATATTTGTCGTAATTATCTGAATAAGTTTAGCTTTTCATGATTGTGAGTGGATTTGATTCAAAAGATGTAAATCTTAGATTTATCTATCTGTGAACGTGCACGAGGGAATGAGTATATGCATTCTAGACAGAAAACGCGCCGAAGCAAAATGAACCCAGATGGATTTGAGCAAAAATGACGATAAAGCTAACCGAAATCGAGTTAGAAAAAGTCAGCTTGATTTAATCTATGATTTACTCGTGCAGATTCATGTTAAATATCTAGTTCATAGACCAATTTGAGTTGTAACTTTACTAAAATGGAGTATTTCTATTATAGCTCTCCTGAATGGATCTTTTGCTTCACTCTGTTATCAAGCTGATCGAAAGTTGTTGGGAGCATATCTTGAGCTGTATCAGATCGAATGCACTTAAATTCACTATCGCCATAAAGTATTAGTAAGTAGTAATTAAATGCCGTTTTCTTGGTGATACTGCCAAGCAAGTTTTCTATTTATGCTCGCTTATAAATCGTGTTTTCCATAAAAATCATTTCGAAACTATAAAATGTGAAGTCTCTCAGTTAGATAGTTTTGGATAGCTACGTTCCACATGACTAAATCCTTTCAGTAGAGGGTTGGCTACGCTAACGTCGCGTTACCTTGTGGTGATTTCCAAACGGAATACTGCTTCCACTTTCCGGATAGTTTTCCGGTCCGTTTCTGGTTGGAATGTACTTGGAAATCACCGGAAGTATCGGGAAATTACGTCATTTTCTTCCGTTTCCAGTCGGTTCCGGAGTCCGGAATCATCGACCTAGGTATTCTCTATGATTGAGATCACTTTTTATAATCTAAGAAAACATCTCATCTATAGATGTATATTACCAAGACAAAATATAGGCATTGATCTGTATATATTTTTGACAATAAGAGAGCAAGCTGCATCATACATTCAAAAAGCCAGCTATTACTGAAAAACAAGCTCGACTGTAGCTAAAATAAAATCATTATCAACAGGAGTAAAAAATAAATCCTTTGAAAAACAATTAATTGTTATAAAAATCAAATTAATTTCAATCGTCTCAACAAAGACGATTTTGCTTCAATCGGTTTGTCATTTTCTTCTGCTATAGCTAATGCTTCTCGCGCATTCTTTTGAATTCCAATGGATTTTTTATGGTTGTTTTCGAAGTTCAAGTACTGCAACTAAAAATAATAATCAATGTAGATTGAAAAGAGAAAAATATACCACAATGAGCTACGATCATCATTTGCTTGTAGTTGAATTCAACGGAAGTTTTCTTCAGTTCATTTTAGTTAAAACAATTATATCAAAGTCGTACATATTTAGTGAGTTAACTTTTAAAAACAGATATTTAGATTTTTGTTCACTATATTCTAATAATCATACTTTCATTATTCGATTAAAACTAATAAAAAGT